TTGGTGTGGGGTTTGAGTGAAAGTGCTGAGCTGAGAGTTCCGGCACCCATCAGTGAGCCGCTGAAATACAAGAGGCAGATTTGGAAGCAGGTGGTAAGTTCTATTTGGATCTTGTAGTGAGAGTCCCCTGGAGTTGTGCAGCAGAGAACTGAATATGTGACTTATTACTCAGACGAGGTCTGTGGAGAGACGGGCCCTGTGATAGCCTTACAACAAACAGTTGTTTGTTAGGGAGTGAAGCTACCATGAAGGCAAGTAAAGATGACAGTTGTAAAATTTATACCCCACGGAGAGACCGGGAAGCATAGGCCTGACAGATGCTATTCCAGGGAGTGTATTTTTGTACACAAGCTATTCCCCTTTCACTTTTAGCACCCAGGGAAATCCCCCCTTCTCCCTTACCAACAGCTCTGAGCACAAAAAACAACCAACCCACAAGATCTTTCACATTAACTTCATTCCTGTATGCTTATTACACATCTTCTTAGCTCAGGACTGTGTGCATGTGTGTACATACACACAAGTATATATGTATGTGTGTATTCAAAGGGACTGTAAAAATTCATACTCCCAACAGCATAGCATAAAAGTATGATTAGTGTTGGCCTTGCCAGGTTAGGTAGGAATATGATTTAAAATATCACTAATTTCACAGATAGGAAATTATTACTGTGTTTTATATTTTAAATTTTAAACTTCTTAATAAAAATTAAATATCAATTGATCTTCAAAGAACAATTATCAAATTATAATGTTATTTTTCTCCATTTGGGCTAAAATACAAGCTTTCTAAGGAGTTAAAAATACTACAGAGTATAAGAGTAAAAGTAGTTTTTAAGGTTTTGATCATTTCCTGTTAGTATATTGAAGATATTCTTTATTAAGATTTCAATTTAGAATTTTTTATGTGAATTCTCAATTTTCTAACACATTTTTCATATTTTATCTCTACAACCTCTAGATAGATAATCCATGCCTAGAAATGCCAATAGCATTTTATTCATTTTTGGTTTTTAAATTTTTGTACAGTAAAACTGATTCTTCTTTTGAATGCATAATTCTGGGAATTTAAGTCTAGACTTCATCTATGATCACTACTACCATCAGGCTCTAAAATAGTTGAGTTTCTCCCTAAAACTTGTTCAAACTTTATAGTCATACCTGCCTGCTATCCATATCACTGTTGACTGCTGATTTCACTTTCTTATCTAGTTTTGTCTTTTCAAGAATGTCAGATAACTGCAATTATATAGTAACATCTTTTATTGTACAATTCTTAAATTGTTCGCAAGGTAGCATGCTTTTCCATATAACTAGCTGCAACTATTTTTTTTGTTTGTTTGTTTAGCCTGTATCAATGCCACTTAATTATTGGGTCATAAGTTTGATTATTTATAATTTGTATATATTTATTACATAATAATGATGTCAACTTATTATGTATTTCCCATTAATACTGTCTTCTATTAGGTATTTGCCTTTGAGTTTCATTATTTCTTTTAAATGTATAAGACCTTACAAGTAATATCATTTGCTCACTATTACAGTATTTTAGGGACTACTGAGATTATTTTTTTTTAATTGTGAAAGCCTGTTTATCACAGTATTATTTCTACATGGAAAAACTGGAAACAGTCTGTGTAACTCTAGACCTTTAGCAAAGCAGATTGTGGAGTTGTCTCTCCATAGAATATCAACACAAGAATAAAGGATGCTCACAAAGATGGCACAGTTTACTTGGACAATTTTTATGGTAAAATATTAAATTAAAAAGGCAAATACAACCTCATGCAATGTATAAGCACAGTACATAAACAAAAACATAAGACCTATTAAAGTTTAGAGAAAATACATCAAAGTAGTAAAGCAACATGCTTTTATTGGTGGAACTCTGAGACATTTTACTAATTTTGTGTAGTTTCTTCATTTTTCATAATGATCACCTATTACTATTATAAGAGAGGGGAAACTCTGTGTATTTTAGGAATAAATGCTACCTCTTGCCTTAAAATTGTACCCTGTGTGTGGCCCTCCCTGATGGCGCAGCGGGTTAAGGCACTGCACTGAGAAGCTAAAGCCACTTCCGCATGAGTTTGATTCCCGCCTGCCTGGGAGGTGACCACA